TTTTTTTTTTTTTTTCTGAAATTCCACAAAATCTTAAAAAATAATAACAAATCCCGTTGTGTGGTATACTCATCATACCATTAACACTTTCAGGTTAAGACCGTCTTTATTAACGCCACCGGGGCGGTGGCGTGAGAAACAACAAAAGAAAAAAAAAAGTAAAAATTGAATTTTTCCCCACCAGAGTCATCAACCTAGGCATGTCGACCAACCCATTTTTGAATGAACCACAAGCTGCCACTTGGCAGCATGTGGTGGGTTGTATTTTTTTTGTTATGTCTTTAAATTAATAATATTGTAAATAATTTTAAATAAAAAATAAATAAAAATTATATCAAAATTCATATTTTTTTTCTCTATAAATAGAGTATAATATTGATACAATTTCACAACCAAATACAACCTCTCTTTTCTTCACACATTTCTTGTTCTATATTTTTTCTCTATTCTTCATTTGAGGTTATGGATCCAAACTATCCAAATTATTTTTTCAACTCCCAAAACTATCCAAACTCAGACCACTTACCCAACTCCGAAAATTATCTGCTTATATGATCAACAAGGATCAACTTCGCAACAGAGAAGCTCATCGTTCTCTTCAAAAAACGTTAGAGTTCCCGCGGGGAGACGATACGTGGACCAAATGTAGTCTATTCTGATAGGTGTGCACATGAGGCTGATTGTTGATTATGGATAGGAGATGGGAAATATTGTGTCTATGTTCATACTTGTGACCATGCCATATTTACTTTTGTACTCACTTATATTAACTGTTCATGCGCATAGCGGGAGCACAACGGTTTCCATATGTGCTCATCCCCACCTGCTCTTCATTGATGCAGGTTGAGTTGGCGGCTGCATGGCGGCGAGAGACGAGTGGTGGTCGGTCTTTTGACCGGACCTTATTGTGTAGCTTCCGCTTTGCTATTACATTATGATTATCTTTGTCATCATGTTGAACTCTGGAATTATCTTGCATTTTAAAACCTTGGGTTTAATTTGCATGGGTTTTAATCTGGGTAATTATGATCTCAGATTTCGAACCCTGGATTATCTATGATTTGAGAAATGCGAACACTGGTTTGGGGAGATGCCCCGATTGCTAATAATTGATTTCGGAACTTTGTTTAAACCCTGTGAGGGTGGTTTCGATTTGACTCTGGATAATTGATGATGTTTAAATTACTTGCGAGTAATTGATATGTGAAAATTCCCAAATGTTGATTATATGTCGAGTAACGCCAAACGATTTATGAAAAGAATTTCGAAAAAATTTCCGTTGACTTTTGAAAAGTCCTTGACTTTCGTCAAATAAAAGTGGGGCGTTACAACTAATTAATACCTTGTAACTAATTAATAAACCTAACTAACTATGTGATGACTCAGCACCTTTCTCTAATAAAAACTGTCAACTCATATTGAGGAATTTTTTTATTTTTAATCCCAATTTCAATTAGGAGTTCAATACTAGGTTTAATCCATTACCTTGGCTTGCAGGCATAGCCGGAAATTGATGTAAATAATTTTTACTGTCGCCAAATTTATTACTAAAAAGATGAATTTCTTTTTGGTCACGCACATCTTGACGGGCAAGTAAATCAACTCATATAAAAACCCACACCACATCAACTTACTCTGAAACTCGTACCGCTCATTGCACAACAAAACAAAAATGCAGATCTTCGTGAAAACTTTGACAGGAAAAACGGTAACACTCGAGGTCGGATCGAGCGACTCCATGGACAACGTCAAAGCTAAAATTCACGACAAGGAAGGTAATAAACAAATTATTGTGCATATACATATATACATTTTATTTTTATTAACATGTTATGACTAAAAAAATAGATCACAATATCTGAATTTGTGATACATATTCGGGGTCTTTGGAATGTTAAGGAATCCCGGAGGATCAACAACGTTTGATTTTCGCCGGAAAACAGCTCGAAGGTGGTCGGATTCTTTCCGATTACAACATTCAAAAAGGTAATTTCATCTTTTTTTTCCGGTTATGCAAAAGATAGCTAAAGATTACAAACAATATTCATTAAGTGTAATTTTTTGTCCCTACAATTCCAATTTCTATTAGAGATTTTCTTAATCCTGACAAACTAATTTAGAGTAATTAATAATATTGCAGATTCTACTTTGCATTTGGTTCTGAGGCTGAGGGGCGGTAAATTTATTAACTATGACCCATATCTTAAGCAGTTGGCTCAAAATTACATTCTCAACAAGCAAATTTGCCGCAAGTGAGTTTTAAAATTTCCCTAATTTTGTGTGTTTTTAATGTTTTTCTTAATGAAGAATTAAATACATATATTTTTTTGTCAAATTTTTGAAATCATCGATCATCAGATGCTATGGCCGGCTGCCCCCTCG